TGTGTGTGTGTGTGTGTGTGTGTGTGTGTGTGTGTGTGTGTGTGTGTATCCTAGTAATTTAAAAGAATTCAACTTTGCAGGCTCTAAATGGGGCGGATTAGTAGCTACTCATCACAGGCCAGCTTGCTGGCTGATAAAAGAAAAAGACATTTTCCTTCAAGGCAGTATGATAACAATCTCTTAACCACTGGAAGGAACGTTTATGACATTCAGCTCTGAGCTGTAAACTGCTGAATGGGGCACGCTGGGCAGCTAACCTGGCAGACCCTAGGCGTGAGCTCTCCGTACACAGCCCGTCACTGGGTGCACAGCAGGACGTGACCACCAGACCTCTGCGTGGTTTTCTGGATAGCATCAAACTGGCCTCCTGGGTTCAAGTCAGGAGGCTTAATAAACGAAACATACTCTTCTTCCATACTTGGCTTAAAAGTTACTCTTCTTCTCTGCGTGTGGGCAGGAAACAGCCCTTACAGGAGAGCCTCCTGCATCTCACTGTGGTCCTCTGTCCTTGCATGTCAGCACCAAGCCAGCGTGGCAGCCTGCCGCTCTCCTCAGCTTTGCCATGTCTGTCCTGGCGCCATCCCTAAGACTTGCCTGGTCTTAGTTTTATCTCAAGTTTTACCTTATTGTCATTCCATGTGTTCTGGCATTTTCTGCCCAGTACCCTTGAGCCCCCATCCAAGACAGATCTCTAAAATGCTCGTCTCGCGTTTTCACTCACTCACAGCTGCTCTCGAAACTTGTTTTTGGGGTCCCCGTGAGGTTTTGTGTTTAGGGACCTGCGTTTCCTACTGCCTTCCCTCTGTCTCATGACACTGCGGCTTTCTGATCCTATCTGGTCCACAAGTGCTCTTTGCAACCCCACAGTCCTGAAGCTGTGGCTTCCTTCTGAGCCTCCCTCACGTGCTGTGTCTGGGAGATGGCTCCGTATCTAGTTCTTTGCTCTGAAATGGGTCACTTGTCCCTGTGAGGGGCAAGAGACTCCTGTGACACTGATGTTAAACTCTTCCTTCCACGGGCTCTGTGTTGCAGAGTCGGGAGAAAAGTGATACTTGGCATTGGGCTCTTAGAGCGTTGTTCTTGACACTAGATGGTCCTGAGAGTCCACACAGCGGGGCTAGATTGCCACATCACTGCCTCCTTCTTCCTCTGTGCTCTTGGTTGAGGCTCTTACATGCAGAGATTCTTGCTCCCGCAGACTCCCCTCACCCTCCTCCCTGGTCCGTCTCCCCCATTAAGCTTCCTCTAAAATCTAGGTAAGTAGGATGAGGGGCTGGCTCTGCCCCGGCGACCATGGGAAGCAGTCCCAAGACTGTCCTCTTCACACCACCATTTCACCCGCAGCCCCTGCCCGCCTGACTTGCCCGTTTCATCTGCGTCCTTGTCCCCCCTGTCTTCCCCAGGGAAAGCGTCGAGAAGAGACACTCCAGCCACCCTTCACCAGCCCCTGTCCTCCCGGTGAACGCCCTGGGACATAACCGCAGCTCCACTGAACAGATCCGGGCCCATTTGAACACTGAGGCTCGGGAGAAGGACAAACCCAAAGAGAGGGAGAGAGACCACTCGGAAGCCCGCAAGGACCTGGCCGCTGACGAGCACAAGGCGAAGGAGGGCCACCTGCCCGAGAAGGACGGGCACGGCCACGAGGGGCGCGCCGCAGGCGAAGAGGCCAAGCAGCTGGCCCGGGTGCCATCCCCCTATGTGCGGACCCCCGTGGTGGAGAGCGCCAGGCCCAACAGCACCTCGAGCCGGGAGGCCGAGCCGCGCAAGAGTGAGGCGGCCTACGAGAACCCCAAGAAGAGCTCCGAGGTCAAGGTGAAGGAGGAGCGGAAGGAAGACCACGACCTGCCTCCGGAGGCCCCACAGACCCACCGGGCCTCAGAGCCGCCACCTCCCAACTCCTCGTCCAGCGTGCACCCGGGGCCCCTGGCCTCGATGCCCATGACGGTGGGGGTGACGGGCATTCACCCCATGAACAGCATCAGCAGCCTGGACAGGACTCGCATGATGACCCCCTTCATGGGCATCAGCCCTCTCCCGGGCGGAGAGCGCTTCCCGTACCCTTCTTTCCACTGGGACCCCATCCGGGACCCCTTGAGGGATCCTTACCGAGAACTTGACATTCACCGGAGAGACCCGCTGGGCAGGGACTTTCTGCTGAGGAGCGACCCGCTGCACCGGCTCTCAACTCCCCGGCTGTACGAAGCCGACCGCTCCTTCAGGGACCGGGAGCCTCACGACTACAGCCACCATCACCACCACCACCACCACCCGCTGTCGGTGGACCCCCGGCGGGAGCACGAGCGGGGAGGCCACCTGGACGAGCGGGAGCGCTTGCACATGCTCAGAGAGGACTACGAGCACACGCGGCTCCACTCCGTGCACCCCGCCTCCCTGGACGGACACCTGCCCCACCCCAGCCTCATCACCCCAGGACTCCCCAGCATGCACTATCCCCGCATCAGCCCCACCGCGGGCCACCAGAACGGACTCCTCAACAAGACACCTCCGACAGCAGCGCTGAGCGCGCCGCCCCCACTCATCTCCACGCTGGGGGGCCGCCCAGTCTCTCCCAGGAGGACTACTCCTCTGTCTGCAGAGATCAGGGAGAGGCCCCCTTCCCACACGCTGAAGGATATCGAGGCCCGATAAGCCGAGAACAGGAGCACAAACAAGAAGAAACCCTAGGCAGACACCAGGCCAGACTTTAGAGAGAGAACTCCTGCATTGCTCACAGACTTGGGGGAAGCGCCACCTCTTCCCCTTGTAAAAATGTATAGACTCGGTGCAGATTTTGAAATGTTTTGTATATTATATGTTGAGATTTTTCAGCTTTTAGCCCAGTCATATGTTCTCATGTCTCCTACTTTTTGTTTCTCGTATAAAACTTTTTGATTTGAACCAAAACCGTGAAGATGACAACACACACCCATTGGATCATCATTGTAGGGGGGGGCGGGGGGGGGATGGCGTCCACACCATCCATCATGCAAAACTCAGATGAGGTGGGAAGGCCGTGTACATAGTTAATGTAAAAAGAGATTGCTTCATGAGCTAATGGTTCATATATGCAAATGGGTAAGATGAAAGCTTTACTTTGTACAAATGTAAATAGGTAAAGATTAAGTAACATAATACATTAATACTTCTTAAAATGTGCTATTTGCAAACTTAATATCAGTGAACACAGTCGGCTGAGGCCGTGTTCCCATATATTGTTATAGACAGCTAAACCCTTCAACTATGCAATGAATGTTCGGGCTTGTCACAAAAGCCCGCCTAACTCAAAGGAGCCTTTTCAGACCCATTTACAACATACTTAAGGTCATATTTTCCCTGAACAAGCGCTTACATGATATGACTCTGTTTTCCTTGCTTGTTTTTTTTTTCAAAAGGAGAAACATCCTATTTTGCAAATTGGACCCCAGGCTGGAACTTTGCATCTGAAGTTGCTGCTTGTGGGCTTTGGGGGAAAGTGCAGCCCCGGAGAGGTAACTGAGGACGTGAGCAACCGGTGCCAGGGAGGATGGGATTTGCCAGACGCCAAAATCAGGGGACGGGTGGTGGTGTCGGACAGACACACACAGGTCGCCAGTGACTTCACACACACCTCATGTGAGAACCATGCCTTTTTTAGTGTGTCCTCTTTCATACCTGTACACACTTCCTCGTTTTGTAATGAGATTTACTTACACCCAAACAGATCCTGAAAGAAAGCTTCCAAGTTTTCTCAGATGATGGATATGTTTTCACTGTTTTCAATAACCAACCAGTGGAAGGTGCACATTTCCCAATGTGACGCGCTGTGTTCCAGTTGGTGATCCAGTCTGGGGGCAGCTGTTACAGGCCAACCTTGCTGAGCCATCGCGAGTTACAGAGCGTGAAAGATGGCGGAAAAAAAGTCTCGTGTGCGAGTGTGTTTTTTGAGTTTGCATCAATCTTAATGTCTCTTCATAATACTTTTATAATACATTAAGCCTCTTGTCTACATATTTGGAGAGAATATGACTTTACTAGCAGAGAAATACAATATATCTTGTCTACTGGACTGTAAATATATGTATGAAATAAAATTAGTTCCATTTGGTCTTCTAGTATATTAAAGTGCTATCTGACGTTTTTATTTTGTTTTTTTTTAAAAAAAAAAAAAAAAAAAAAAAAAAGTTAACTACAGACCATTGTTTCTAATAAGCAGAGAGATCTATTTTAGTAGTAAACTGAAGGTTTAGTTGTGAGCTTCAGATTTTGTGAACTCCAGATGTTGTGCAGTGTTTTTTTTTTTTTTTTTTTTTTTTTTAAAAACAACAACTAAAAAAAATTCCAAGGAATATGTACACTGGAACTGTAGTGGTAGCTTTCAGTATTGTAAAGAGATTGTTCTATACGGACCTTTTTGCTGTTTATCCTGTATGTAATAAAGTCCTTTCTAGATCCTATGTGAAAAGAAAAGTGAAGCAACTGAATCTTCAGCATGTTCTCATCGGCGGAGCCTTCTTGTGTAATGTAAACTGTGCCATGTTATTAAAAAATGTGAACTAAGCTTCCAGCTGCTTGTTTGTGTGAGGTGACCGTCATGACCCCAGAGAAGAAGGCATACCCGTGCAAGATCAGGCTCTTGAAACGCCTCACACCAGCCCGTGTGAGAACAGAAAGCTCACCTGCCGTGGCTGGCCACGCTACCTAACTCGGTCAGTACCACACCAAGTCATTACTGTTAACATTTGCACCCACACAGTCGATTGCGGTTGGTTGCTTTCTGGGGAGGAAGGGGGGTTCTGTTTGTTTTTTGTATGTTCCAAATCCTGTAAAAGGCAGGTACTTCTGGATTTTGTAGGCATTTGTACAGTGTGGGCAAGTTAGCCAGCCCCATGTGTCCCTCTGGGCTACTTTGAAACTCAGCAAAAGTGTTTGCTTTTCCAGCAGTGATGAGAACTCTGACCGAGGGCCTGTGACAGCAGTTTTTGCTTGCTCGTTCTGTGGTATTTCAGTCTGGACCCGGTCGGCTATGTTACTTCAGGCCTTCCAGATAACGTGTTTTTCCTGTCTTGGCTTTTCCTCTCTTTTAATTACATGGTGTGGCCCCCATCGGTTTACAGTCTCCCTGTCCTCTAAAATCTGTTTTTTCCCATGATGTTAAAAAAAAATTGTTAAATTTTCTTGTATCAACCCTGATGAAATTGCTATTTGGATGAGGTTGGATGGGTGTTCCTATGTTACTAGGGAACAAAACAGACGTGGTTCAAATTAGCAAGATCTGGGTAGCTACTGAATGGGAATCAGAAATAATAGAAATGCTTAGAAACGAGGGCACCAGATTGGAGTGGGCAAGTGCCGTGGACTCCTGTGGCTTCACAGGGGCGTGGGCACTGCAGAAGTCAGTCCAGGGCACCAAGAAACGGCGTCTAAGAAGTCAGTCCCGGGCAGTGCAGACCCCGGTAGGGTTTGTAGGCTTAAGCAGATCTGGGCAGAGCGGTGACGAACGAAAGCCCTTTTCACTCAGCCCTGTTTTCCTGTGTTAATACCTGACTCCAAACGAGAAAATACGGAAGAAAAACCTACTGGATTGGAAAAGACGGTCAACACTGCGTTTTTCCAGATCAGGCAGTTCTCAGGGCCTTGCTTTGCTATTTCCCACTGCCCCAATCGTACACCCATTTTGACGTCGCCATCTGCACTGTCAGAACGTAGGACAGTCAGACTCTCAAATCAGCCACGGTATTTAATCCCCAGGGCTCATTCATCTCAACCTTTGCATATCTCCCCCCCTAATTACACTCGGCTCCTCGGCACTGATGGGTACCAGCACCAATTTGATTTCCTGCTAACCTATAGATGCTCTAATTATCTCCCCATCTTTGACTGACAATGATCTTGTTACCCTCTAATGGTACATGACAGGTAAAATAGCGAATGTAATGATGCAGTAATTACCACTGTAGATGGATATTTGCCACGGCATTTGCTGTTTATCCATTTTTCTGCCTCAATCAAGGTAGATGAGGGGAAATAAGACAAAACTGTTGACATTCTATACATATGTAGCATAAAAAGAAGTTGAAGACAGAATTTTACAGTGCAGGTAGCTGTGCTCTTGTGGGGCACTCAAGGCCTATGTCTGTATCCGTACTGGAAAACAAATTAGGCCTCAGTGGCATTAAATCGCTTGAAGGAACAAGGACAACAAATGTGACCTGGGCTTTCTCTTTTTTTTTTTTTTTTTTTAAACTGCCATCCTTTCTGCGAATTTCTGGAAAAAAAAAAAATTTTTTTTTTTCTTTTGAGACCGAGTCTCATTCCATTGCTCAGTCTGGAGTGCAATGACACGATCTCGGCTCACTGCAACCTCCGCCTCCTGTGTTCAAGTGACTCCCGTGCCTCAGCCTCCTGAGTAGCTGGGACTATAGGCATATGCCACCACACCCAGCTAAACTTGGTATTTTTAGTAGAGACAGGGTTTCACCAGGTTGGCCAGGCTGGCCTTGAACTCCTGACCTCAAGTGATCCACCTGCCTCAGCCACCCAAAGTGCTGGGATTACAGGAGTGAGCCACTGCACCAGGCCTGAAAAACTCTTAAACACACAGTTTCCTTGCAATAAAATAGGGTTATTTTCCAGATACGAAATTATGTTATCTAAGGCTGTCAATTCCATAATATGAAATTCCTAGTCTTTGCCACTGTCACAAGTACTAAACTAAGGTTTTCGTATCTCACGCCCAAAATGCTACATTTCTAATGACGAGCTTGGTGGGAAGGGGTCCTTGGGTCACGGTCACGAGGGCTGAACCCATCCCTTATGCCTTCACACTCAGTGACCCTGCACACAGGGCCTTTTTGGAACTCAGTTTCCTAACATGTAAAATGACACAATCGAAACAAAATGAGGCCCAAAAACATGAAGGCCATAAGCCCAAAATTCAGCATGGCGTGGGTGGAATTTTGCTGTCTGCAGTCCCAGGATTTATAGAAATTGTGGACTGGGTAGAGAATGGCCCCACAGCCCACACAAAAAGGAAAATAACTTGAAAAACTTGAGTGGTGGCCAGGCACAGTGGCTCACCTCTGTAATCCCAGCACTTCAGAAGGCTGAAGCAGGTGGATCACTTGAGGTTAGGAGTTTGAGAGCAGCCTGGCCAAAATGGTAAAATCTCATCTCTACTAAAAATACAAAAATTAGTTGGGCATGGTGGTGCATGCCTGCAATTCCAGCTAGTTAGGAGGCTGAGGCAGGAGAATCACTTGAACCCAGGTAGAGGAGGCTGCAGTGAGCTGACATCACATCACTACACTTCAGCCCGGGCGCCAGAGTGAGACCCAGCCTCAAAAAGAACACTTTAGTGGCCACAGATTCTTGCTAAAGATTTGCTGAAATGTTTGGCAGGTCCAAAGGGAGTGGGTGATGATTCCAGGGCTTCTAATTTGCAGGTGTTTCTCACCTGGTGAGGGGAGGGGCAGATTAAAACTGCATCTGGCTAAGGCACAGAGTATTGTCACAGAATCACAACCTGCTGTTCTACCCAAATGTGCCCTGATGCTGACATACACAAGATGAAGCTTAGCCTCTGAGCCCGTGTTTGGAGATCTCTGTGGCCTGGAACAACAGAGACCGGACCAGATGCCTTCAAATACTAGGCTTGTGTGCTATACAGTTATTGGGCAAATAGGCCTTAGTTTCCTCATCTGTAACTTGAATTTGTTGGGTGATATTGAAAGCCCTCTTCAAACTGTTTTTTGGATTTTGCGTCTCTTTTCAGCCTCAGTTTTTTTTTTTTTTTTTTTTTTTTTTTTTTTTGTAAGAGACAGTGTCTCACACTGTCACCCAGGCTGGAATGCAGTGGTGCATTCATAGCTCACGGCAGCCTCCAACTCCTAGACTCAAGGGATTCCCCCACCTGAGCCTCCTGACTGACTGGAACTACAGGTGTACACCCCCACACCTAGCTCATTCTTTTATTTTTGGTAGGAACGGGGTCTCACTATGTTGACCAGACTGGTCTTGAACTCCTGGCCTCAAGCAATCCTCCCTCCTCGGCTTCCCAAAATGCTAGGATTGCTGGTGTGAGCCACCGCACCCGGCCTCCTTTTAAACCTTATTTACCTTCTCACACCCTGCAGTCCAGCAAGGCCAAGTAAGTTACTGTTCCCCATGCTTCCTAGCAGCATCTTCTCAGCATCTATCTGCAGTATCTTTTACCTCTTTCCAAAGGCCCTGGTGTCAGAATCTGAGCCACACTAAACGTCAACCCAAAGCTGTCTCAGTAAATCCACCGCCCCCCGCCCCCCGCTTTGGGACTGTCTTAGGGCCTGGCTGGCACTCCTCCCCCACCCTCCACTCAGAACTTTCTGTTCCGCAGTTCCACATGTCTCTCTGGATCCTCAGCTCCTCCAGGCAGGGCACTGTCTTAGATTCTTCTAACTGGGTTATCTCCCGTAATGCTCTCAATGACCTTGCAAGGTAGGTATAGGTACAACCTCCATTGGACAAATGAGGAAAATGAGGCACAAAGAGGTGAAGTCATCTGTCCATGTTCAAGGGCAATTACACACTTAACATTTGTCCATGTTCAAATGCAATTACAAGTGTTCAAAATACACACCCAGGCAATTCCCGTCTAGAGCGACACCGTCACCATGGCCCTGGCTCCCACAGAGAAGAGGCTTGCTGAGTCAATGCACCATATCAACAGCTGTCCTTTACTCACCAAACACACTCTTGTAATTAGCACCCAGGCTGGAGTGCAGTGGCACAATCATAGCTCACTGCAGTCTCAAACTTGAACAGGAAGACTGAAAACTAAATTAGGAAAAAGCTTTGAGGGCCAGGTAACAAGAGTCTTCCTTGCAAGGACTTGCTTTGTCCTGTAAGCAATTGGGAACTACTCAAATTTCTGCCAAGTAAAATTTCAGAGAGATAAGCTTGATGTCAGTGAAGGTACACTGAAAAATGAAACCAACCACTGACGCTGCCACGCCCCACAGTCCCGGGTAGCCCACAGGCCCACGTGATTTCCTCCTGCTGCTTGTTCAGTGTCAACCTCAGCCCCACTCGGACGTCCTGGGGCTTGACGCAAGGCAGTGTCTACATGCTGTGGCCTGCATTTGTCTGTCTAGAGTGTCAGGGAGTTCCCATCTAGGCTTCATGACACCCCTCATGCATTGTGACCACATCTTCATGTAAGCCTGCTGACCAGAAAAGCCAAATATTGAGAACATCAGGAGTTGCAGCAATGAAAGATTGGTGGGGGGGCTAGAGAATGGGGAATACTGATTGGTTGGGTTGGGGATGAAATCATCAAAGCGGTCTTCTTGCACTGTATCAGTTTCTGGCTATGGTCACAGATCTGGTTGAACCAGTTTCTTGGCATGTGTGGGTCACTGGTCCAGGTGGTGCCAGTTGGTCTATCAGAATGCAAGGTCTGCAATTGCCTTGAACACCAGTCTTAAGTTTTACAATAGTGATGTTCTCTCTAGGAACAATTGGGAAGGTTCCAAATCTTGTGACCTCTGGCTACATGACTCCTGAGCCATAATTCTAATCTTG